ATTAGTCTCCTGGCCTTAGATGGAAGGGAACAAGTGGATCCCACAGAACCCTTTTCTTATTCCGCATACTTAATCGGCCGTGCCTCCCGAACTGGGAGAGAGTAAACGGTTGGCATTTCTCAGAACGATTTGTAATCCTGGGAGGTAAAGATAGTTCATTTCTTTGGTCATTAGGGGGAATGAGAACTCATTACGATCACTACTTTGAGACGAAGATGATACTGACATGTAAAAGTGTTACGTTGATTAAAACAAACTATTTTTCGTCAGTTTAAAAGCTCTAGGTCATCAAAAGTAGGAGAGACGTTAAAAGTGAGTCTGGTTGTTATTAGCTGCTGAGATTGATAGCCGTTTAAAAGCCGTTTGATAGCCGATATCTGTCTGAGTCGTTTGATAACTACGACCACCGGAACGGATTTCTGTTTAGGGCGTGCATATTCAATCCCTGCCTCATCAGTTTCATTGAAGGTCGTACTTTTTCAAAATAGGGGCCCGGCTGCTTGGATGAATACAGGCCATCTGGTTCGCACCGCCTCGACCTATGGTAAGGGGCGAGCCCGTTGATATGCTGGCTTATGGCCGTCTGGCACGCATTACGTAAAGCTATTTTAATAACGTAAAACACCACTTTACTTTTTAAAACCGGTTACGGACAAAAGTACAAGTGGAAAGCTTCGCGTGGGGTCAGGTACGTAGTGTGAGACGCTTGCCACGTCAAAAGTTCGCATTGAAGAAGGTTCGTTAAACATAAAGTTTGCATGTTTAATTATTTGTTGGGAGAAAGCATGTAACGAAAATGATTGTGCACGTAAAGGTCCGTGGGCAGATTCTCGTAAATAAGTGTTCTTCAGTGACAAATTTCGTACGGAAAGTACGTGCGCATAAGATAGCATGTAGAAGTTTATTAGCCCGATCATTTTTGAACGTTTTGTCGGAGAGCCCCACTCCATACGTCTTATATGGCCAACTTTTGTGCGTTGATTCGGAAATAGAGGTTTATTGTCCAGGGTCCCAGAGGCTGACTGCCCCAGGGGTACCCAATCCGTGCAGGAGGCCTTCTGAGTGAAGTTTAAGATCACGGCTCTACGGTTGGGGGGCCTCAATATGGCATACAGTCAGCCCCTGGAGCCCTTCAGTCTTCCAGTCTGGCCCTTGATTGTCACTCCCGAACACACGGGGACACTGGCCCTAGCGGCCGCTCTTCAGGCCTTCTCCAACACCGACCCCGTCTGACTCGGTCTCCTTTGTTAACACGGGACCCCCTGTTGGGCACTGTGGGCCTTTGGATAGCATAGGGAGCACCACTGACTCATTGGCTCCGACAAATCACTGTCCGACAAATCGCTGTCAATCGGCAGTCACGTATCCCGGCCTTGTCCTCGCTTGGGGAAAGAGTCGTTAGGTCCAGACCGACACGGAGCAAGCTGTTCAGTACTGGTGGTGCCAAGGAAGGCGCACCGCTTTGAAACGTGGTGATGCTACTTCATCCCAATTTGCCATTAAATCACGTGACCTACCTTCCAGATCGTTCCCGTCGTGTGATAAGGTTGTGGGTAGCGCAATGACCGTGATAGTAAGAGATATGGAAGGGCAAGATATCTGAGTAAAGCGTTTCTCCAAACATGCTGCGTCAGCAAGGTAGCTAATGAGGTCATCGGATTTACCCCAGTGCTGCAATCTACCCGAAACGAAAAGACGGTGTGAGTGGCGCAATCAGTGGGCTGAGGAACATGGAACAAGAACCAGTGAGCCAGTATACCAGCATATTAGTATAGGAAGCCAGTGAACTAGTGTTAACAGTGCAGCCGTGCAAAACCTCAACCAGTCTTGCCGGTGACAGCTGCTTAGCCAGTACTGCCGCCGCTGCTGCCCCCCCCCCCCCCCCCCCCCCCAGCTGCCGGATTATCATGTGAGGCAGACAGCCGTGGCGATGAAGCAAATGACCCTGATTATGTGGTGGCTTACCGCCCGCCCAATGGAAATGTGTGGTTGGCTCAATGACAGAGACTGCGAATGTCGCTGATATTGGCGCCCAAAAAAACATCCAAAGTACTGTCTTCTTCGTGACCGCAGTCGGTGAGAAAATACCGACAAAATGCGGAGGACATGAGACGCTTAAAAAGAGCAAACAGAAGATTCAGGGAGAGACGAGGTATGTCAGTGTCAGTGTCCAGTTCTTTTCCATACGAGCATATGTCTTAAACCGTTTCAAACACCAGGTCTGCTCCCCGTGGTCTCCTACAGAAACACGTGGATATTTAAGAAATTGTTGCCCACTTTATACCTATACTTAAGCACCGACACCATCTGGGTGGTTTTTCAGCGTTGTACGGTGTGGTAGTCGGTGCTGTAAAACACTGAGCAGTGCCTCAACACGCGCTCTGGCGGCGGCTGGTTGAATCCGATGGAATAGGGGGGGCCGGGGGGGGGGAGTGATTTGGCCCCCCGAGATGTAAAAAACTAAGGATCTAGAGGCGCAAAATACATTGGGCAGGTAAAACTGTATGTGAACTCACTTATGACAAAGTTACACGATTCTTGGTGATGGCCTTCTTAAACATTAAGGTCAAACAAGGTCAAACTCACGATGTGTGGCCGAACAGCCCTGAGGTCTACTCATGCAACTACCTTTAACCTAGATGCCTCGGCCTAATTCGGACTTGCCATAGGTCGGCCACGCCACACCGCCCGAAAATTATGTCGGAAGTGGGGGTGCAAACTGGTTCCCACCCGAACGTGTGTTAAAATGCTTAATGGGAATGTTTCACATTTGAAGATATTGAGGTAAGCATCAGATATGGTGAATGAAGCCCACTCATGACTATTGGTATACTTTTAAGTGAAAAACTGCTTTAGGCAACACAAGTTCTCTTCTTTGTAAATGCTCCTCAATAGTCGCTACAACGCATCGCGAGACATGAGCCGAGTCCGGCGTTGATCGCGTACACGTCGTGTTCAGCCTTTGGTGCACGCTGGAGAAGCTGCGGCTGATTCCGTATGCCGTGCGCTGAAGCTGACGGCTGACGGTGAACGGTAGTCAGCGGCGGTGATTGTTTTAAGAGATTGGTATCCATTGATTTATTTGCAGATCGGTGTGTACCTGTCGACAACCCTGAACTGTGGCTATATAGCCAACAAGTTCCCCAAAAGACGTATTTTCCCAATGTCCCCCTCTGCAATCACTGGAAGATCACAACAGCCGAAGCTGTTCTTGCTTAAATCTTAGGTTGTGGGAAGCTGTAATCACAGATCGTCCCTCGGTGCATGCCGAACGAGTCGCAGATGGCCCATTGCCTCAGACCTCAAACGCCTCAAGCTCAGTGTGCCCCAAACTTGGAACACTTAAAGCTCAGGGCACCTCGAACTCAGGGCACCTCGAACTCAGGGCACCTCGAACTCAGGGCACCTCTCTGGAAACTCAGCGGTCCGCTTGCGCCGCCAGCCGGACGAGCACGTTGTCATCGGCGGAGTCAACGGCGGGTCCGGAGCATCCGTCTGGGTCGGCAGCCGCGGCTGGTGGCCGACTCCCCAGCTCCGAGGCCGAGGTCGCCCTTCGAAAGCAGCGCGCGTCCGAGCGGCCTCCAGTGAAACCCACGTCCGGTTCCGCTCTGAGACTGGCGCGAGGAGCGACGCCGCACACGATCCTCCGCCAATCAGGACAGGGACGCGCCTCACCAGGTGAGCGGAGACAGGGACGAGCCTCACCAGGTGAGCGGAGGCAGGGACGCGTCTCACCAGGTGAGCGGAGGCAGGGACGCGCCTCACCAGGTGAGCGGAGGCAGGGACGAGCAACACCGCGTGAGCGGGGACAGGGCAAACCTCACCAGGTGGGCCAGGACAGGGGCAAATCTCACCGGGTGAGCGGGGACAGGGATGAGCCTCGCCGGGTGAACGGGGACGGAGACGAACCTCACCAGGTGACTTGGTACAGGGCGTACCCAACCGCGCAGGCCAGGACAGGGCAGGAACGTACCTAGCCAGGTGAGTCGGTACAGAGACATACCCAGCCGGGTGGACCGGGACAGGACAGGAACGTACCTGGCCAGGTGAGTCGGTACAGAGACATACCCAGCCGGGTGGACCGGGACAGGACAGGGACGAACCTGGCCAGGTGAGTCGGGACAGAGACATACCCAGCCGGGTGGACCGGGACAGGACAGGGACGTACCTGGCCAGGTGAGCCGGGACAGAGACATACCCAGCCGGGTGGACCGGGACAGGACAGGGACGTACCTGGCCAGGTGAGTCGGGACAGAGGCATACCCAGCCGGGTGGACCGGGACAGGACAGGGACGTACCTGGCCAGGTGAGTCGGTACAGAGACGTACCCAGTCAGGTGAGCCGGGACAGGACAGGGACTTATCAAGGCCAGGTGAGCCGGGACAGCGACGCACCCAGTCAGGTGGACCGGGACAGGACAGGGGCGTACCTGGCCAGGTGACTCGGGACAGCAACGTATCTCACACAGCAGTGTTATACAGGAACACAGACAATCGACACAAACTCGGCGACGGACCAGCCCGGCAATGGGAGCGCATTAACAGAAACGAGTGCATTATAAACACTCGGATGACGCGTTCGTGCGGGACCTTGGGTGTATGTGTATAGCATTTGAAATAAACAAATGTTTATGCGTTGCTCCTACAGCATTAAAATGCACGATATGTTTAGATTTCGTTCAAGCTTCTAAGCTGGCAGAAATCTAAACAGCCTCAGTCAACAACCCACCTCCCCTTATTTTCCACCGTCATCATCCTGCTCAACGACCCAGTATCTCAGCCCGCACTCTATGGTCGATCCCACTCAGACGAATATCTGTAGTTGAGTTGGATCCCCGCTCTCTTGCAGGCCTGTTTCGGAGTGGAGGGACGGAGCGCGCCCTGGCCTTCCCGCCGTCACAGCCTCGACCCCGCCAGCGGGGGCAACCCGAGTCGCGGCGGGCGGCGCCCCCTAGCCTCGAGGACGACGACGACCTGGAGATCGACGCGACCCTCTTTGCTATGGCCAGGAAGCGCCGCGCGCCGCCGCCACCGGAGCCGACTAGAGCGCCGCCAGTGCTGCCGATGCGGGCTACAGCGACTACGACACCGCGCACCCGGGGATTGCCACCACCACCCACCACTCCCGGGCCCGCTGAAGCCCGGCCGACCGCACCGGACCCGGCGCCACGCTTCGTTCCGCAGAGGAAGCGGGCCTCCAACGCATCAGTGCCAGAAGACGATCCTCCCGCGGTTGCGAGCCTACAGGAGCCGGCTCCTGTCTCATCAGCGACCGTAGCCACGAGCTTACAGGAGCCGGCTCCCGCTCCATCAGCAACTGCAGCTGCGAGCTTACCGGAGCCGGCTCTCGCCCCACCAGCACCAGAGGAGCGAGCCCCCGCTGCTCCGAGGCCACCGGAACCGGAGCCGTGTGGTCGCCAGCCGCCGGAGCTGGCTCCCGCTGCGTCGCCGTCTCCGCCGTTCTGTCACAAGTCGGGAGGCGCGTCCGCCGCGGGGTCGGACGACCTTGCGCGCGCTGGGGAAGTGGCCGCTCGTGACTCGGGGGCTTCCTCGCCCACGCCCGCCGGCCAGTCGCCGCGCCGGAGCGGCGCCGTCAGCGAGCCGTGCGAGCCCGCGTCGAGCTCAGCGTCGCCGCACGCATCGCGACCGAGCCTGCTCAAGGACGACGTCGCGCGCGCCGCTCTGGCCGACGGGAACGGAGGGGGTCACGCCGACGAGGCCGCTCGCGCGCCCCCGGCTGTCGGCGCCTACCGGTTTGCAGACAGCACTGCTGGCGAGCGTCGCACAGGAGACCCCTCGAGCGGTGCCGAGGGCGCGGAGGGCGACCGCGGCGCCGCGGAGGGAGAGGGCGGCTGCGCGACGCGCGGCGTCGGGAGCGACGCCCGAGGGCAAGTGAAGGGATTCAGAGAAGTGCGTCGCGGGCAGTCAGAGGACAGACCTCGTCGCCAGGGGAACAAGAAATATACGGATGGACGGGAGCGGACAGGACTGGATGGCGACGGACCGCCTCTGGAGAAGGACGAGAGATGGCATGGCGTCGAGGACCTGAATCAGAGCGCATCATCTGACGACGCGCTACTTGCTGTGGGTGATTTGCAAAACAGACACAAAGGTGAGTTTATTCAGATCTACATAGTGCGAGTATAAGCCAACGCTTGCAGTGGTTGTGCAGTATTTCCCCTGAGTTGATGGTATACGCACTGCTGTTCAAGATGCGCTTACCTCAACGGTCGGTAACGATTAAGGCTGTGGCCTCCTTTCTTTTGTATGTAGGATTCATAAGGGTGTGTTATGCATCGGGTTAATCGGTAGCATTATCCCGATTGCTTGGGCCCACATACAAACGATTTTGGATATCCTCAGCTGCACCGAAATCCCATTATTTATCCGTGTGCATGGATACGCTTAAACTATCTCACGTTTTGGCTGGACCGTTTCAGAGAGCAACAGCGACCTACCGGCTGGGGACCTTCCCTTCAGCCTGACCCGAAGACATGCAGACGTGGCGTCTGTTCCTGGATCGGTGTGCCAGACCCCGCAGGGGGATGTCGTGCCACCGCTCGGCAATGGTCCTTCTAGTCCCGACTCTGCTGGTGAAGAGCGGACAGCGATTGGTAAATTCAGGCGAAGTTCGTCGTCCAGCTTGCAAGCAGAGGCGGCGACCAGGACCGCGACGCCAGAGGCTGAAGAGCAAGCGCCAATTTCGGACAGCAAGTACGGAAGTCTGCCAGCGAGGTACAGGTCCAGGCACAAAGATCAAGTTGTCTCCAAGCCGGAGAGGGGCGTCTCCCCGGTAAAGCACGTGGCGCACAGTTTGGACGCCAAGGCGCGCGCGCCGGGAAGAGCATCGAAATCCGGCTCTGATTCCGATCGAGGCGCCAAAATAATGTCGCTCTCCACAGCGGCCTATGCACATGTGCGGCAGTTTAACGTCGTCGAAACACTGCCGGTGGTCTATACCCAAGACAGGGCGGTGTCGCGCCCGGCCACCAAGAGGGATAGGCTATCACACGGCAATGTGGAGGCCGCTCATCAGAACAGCCCAGTATTGCCTGGCGCTGCATACTCCGGGCAAATTCAAACAGGGAGGTCCTCAAGATTGAGTGAAGGCAGTGAGTCGAACGGTCAGATGGGCCACAGGAATATTATCAGCGATTCTGATAGCGCCAACACCGTCGTTGAACTGAGAAACATGTCAGAATCAGAAGTGACGAAAACCACACTGCTTCCCAGACAGCAGGTATGTGATCAGAACAAGGGAAGGATCTAGGATTTCGCCAAGGGAGGGGCCGCGCTTCACTGCGGTGCCTCCTAGAACTTGGTGCCCCCCCCCCCCTTGATTATCTCACCAAGAAGTTCCCGGCTTTCGGCCACTTTATTCTCAAACCCTATCTTTTAGTGGATAGCATATCTTACGCCAGAATGGTTCCTGGCTTTAGTCCACGCCATTTCTAGAAGTAAATTTTCTTTGGTTTTTTTGTGTTCAAAGGGCCGTTTGTGGCGCCTTTGAACTTTGGTGCGTCTTGAAGACAAAGATTAAGCGTTCCTGAAATAAGGATTTTGGTGCCTCTTCACCACGAGACTGCGGTGCGTCTTCGGCCCAATGACGGAGCACGGCCCCATGTCCCCTCCCCCCCCCCCTCCCCCCCAGGATTCGCCACTGGATCAGATGTCTGACAACCTGTCTGGGGGCCTGATCCCCGCACGGCTTTGAGACATAGAGAAAAAAATAGAGAGCGCTTTGGGCGCTCTATTTTCTCCCAACTGGGATGGTCTGCAGCCGGCGGCAGCTCCCGGCAGCTAAACACCAGGTGGCGGTATATCAGGCGACTAAATATCAGGTGGCAGTATATCAGGCGGCTAAATACCAGACGGCTAAATATCAGGTGGCAGTATATCAGGCGGCTAAATACCAGGCGGCGGTATATCAGGTGGCAGTATATCAGGTGGCAGTATATCGGATGGCTAAATATCAAGTGACAGTATATCAGGCGGCTAAATACCAGGCGGCTGAATATCAGGTGGCAGTATATCAGGTGGCAGTATATTGGGCGGCTAAATATTAGGTGACGTCACAGTGGACCGTGCCGAGCATTGCGGCACGTTAAGCTTTCGCCGTGAAATTATACCTCTGACCCAGAATTATACGCTCGGAGGGTGGGGCTGGGGGCTCGTGCAATATGTGCTGCTTAGCGTGGGCGGTGATCCATAAAGACACCAAATCAAGAGGACTCCGACTAAATCCAAAAATGTCCGCAGATCGTGATGGGACATGCTGATTCCTCGGCCGTCCAGAGCGTGGGCAATGCCTCGCTGTCCGACCGTGGCCGCTGTACTCCACCGCGCACTCGTCCCAGC